AAAAAAAAAGCAGTAGAGATCAAAGGATTAGCACATACCACGGGGTGGCTTATTCTTGTGTGATCTTTTAGTATTGTCCCATCTTTGCCTCCTCCGACCCTCCATGAAACCTCCAAGGAAACAGAACCTATACTATAACAACGATAATCCACGAAAATCCACAAAAAAACAAAAATCAAGTTAATTGAAATTCCTATAAAAGAAAACAGAAATTCAACAAAATAGAAACAAACTCTAACAAAATCGGCAACCCAAATCACCATCAAACAAAAAATTCAGTGCGGCGCAAATCTAAGAAAAAAACTCGAAAAAATAAAAAAATGGGTCACCTCGGATTTCGCGAAGGAGTTCTTCACAGCCCAAATCGAGAAACTGTGCTCAGCCCTGCTTTTCGCGCAGAGTAACTGAAAAACGCCGCAAAAATTTGAAAAAAAAAAAAAAAAATTGATTCTTTTTCGCACAATCTTACACAAAAACCTACGATGTTGAAGGCCGATTCGAGCTACAAAGGACGTGATCGATTGAAAAAAGAGTGATGGGTTCGAAGGGGAAAGAGGGGAAAACGAAAGGGTTGTGGACAGTATTTACACAGAAAGGGGAAAAACTTCGAAATACGTTCGAACTGTCGTTTTTGTGCAGAAGGAGAAAAGGTCATCGATAGATATATACTGTGCAAATAAAATAATAAATTTAACTAAAATTGGACAATAAAATAAAATAAATTACTCGCAAAGAGTCATGCCACGTTCACATGGTTCATGAATGGGTCTCCCCTCGGCTTTGGAGCTTGGCTACAGCATGATCTGACGGGGATCTTCCCGTCGTGTTTTAGCTTAATTATTTTCTAAGTCCTTGGCATTCTTCTTTTGTACCAAACAATTTAATTTGTCTAACAATAATATCACAATATATCTTTGTTTTAGCATCCAACTAGTATAATACCCGTGTGCACAAGACAAATGTTGGGTTAAGAAATACTAGCTCCTATTTTTAATATATGTCGTTTTGAGAAGTTGCACATTAATTAAGAATATTTTTTTTGTCAATAATAACCTTATTTAATGAAGATAGAGATTAATGTTTTGAGAAAAAAGTGAAGAGTGAATATGAAAAAACGTGATGCATTTATTGGCTAAATGAGGATAATAATGGAAAATTATGTACAAAAGATCCAAAACGACATTTATTTGACAAATAGTTGAAAAAACTAGAATGGCATTTAAAAAAAAATAGGAGGGAGTATATGATAAAAGTTATTTATGTCTATACCATATCTAACTCCAGAGCAAAAATAATATAAAAACCACATCACGAAATATATGTTTTCGCCATGTCAGCATTCCGAAGCGTGAGAGTCTGTCACTTAACTCAACACATTTTAAATTAATATATAGGGAATGGATATTTAAGTTTAATAAAGTATAGGTTTAACACTCATCTTTATGGTATTGGGGAAATTATTAGATTTGGACAGTTTGTATTTCAATATTTGAAATCTGAAAAGGAATATAGGTTTGATTATAATATATATGATATTGAGGAAATTATATGCAATGGTGGACGATTATTTAATAAAAATATATATAGGGGTTGGTTCAAATAAAAACTAGTCCTGGTGTGAGATCCGTGAGAAATATATTTGATGCTATTTTTAATTATACATGATGTTATCATTTTCACAAATGATAATATAAATGATGTTGCAATTTTTAATAAAATAAAAAATAGCACTAAAAACAAAATCAATCATAATACTTCTGACAAATAAAAATAGCAGTTTTCACGGTTCTCACACCAACACTAGTTTTTTTTTTTTTTTATTTGAATCAACTCCTATATATAAATATATATATATTGGGTAGTGGCATTGCAATTGTGTATTAAATTTTTTGGTAATGAAAGTTGACAAATTGGACATGATTATGATTATGATACCATTTTTAACCATCCGCCAATTCCTTGTTTGAGTGAAGCAATTGGAATACCACTGAACCCATATTATAAATTTATAATGATCACTACTTAATATGAGAATTTATATACAAATTGCCAAATAGAAATTCCTTTATATACAAATGCGTCGAACTAGAAATTTGTCAGATAATCAATTCGAAATTATTTAATTGTGGTAACACGTGATAAAAACAGGATAAAAACAAAAACGTTTGTACTGATAAATTGAAATGGAAACGTGACTAAAGATCCAAATGGACCACAACTCTGTCAACAAGTATTAATGAACAATATTCGTGTTAGTTGTGTCCGTATAATAATAACCTTCTTGCTCGTCCACTGTTTTGCTAGAGCTCAAGTTTGATTCGACTCGTTTAACTAATCAATCAAGTTCAAATCGGCTAAAAAGCATGCATTTTTATATAATTTTTTATAGTTAAATTAGTTAAAATTCGAGTTGGACTCATAAATATGATAAACGAATCGAATTTGAGCTCGTTTATCGTCTCAACTTCATAAAGGGTTCAAACCCAAGCTTTATTAACACTCTAATCAAGACAAATTTTAAATGTCTATGGACCAGATTGGAATTTTGATTTTGTATTTAAATAATATTGAAAATATAATGATTAAAGTTTATGTAATATAAAAGTATAAAAAATGGGTGATTGAAAGTGATGGTTTTATTAAAAGTATGTGTTTGAATGAATAACGAATTAAAGTTGATGACATGTATGAAGATAATTAATTGATATTAGTTTAATTATATTGATAATATTGAGAAAATTTGAGTTGTGTAATTTTGAGTTAACAAAAATTATCTGGTAAGTGATGGCAAGTGATAACTGAATGATTATTGACCATATCACCAATCAAAAAATAAGCAACCAAATGATTACTGACCATAAGTTTTATTATTTAAGGTCACTGTTTGGTCACTACAAAAAAACACTACAATTTCAACAAAAAATTCAAACGGCAAAATTTTCTGTTGGAAATTCCAATGAATATTCCAACAAACTTAATTTTATGTTGGAATAAGTGTTGGATAGTTGAGGAATTCCAACGGATTTTTTCCGTTGGAATAGCTGTAGGAATTTATTTCCATAGGATTTTCCGTTGGATATTTGCTATTCCAACGACTATTTTTCCAACGGATTTTTATACGTAGGAATATCCGTTGGAATAGCTATTCCAACGGAAATATAAAAAATTCCAACGGAAAATTTTTGTTGGAATGTAATAGTTATTTTTGTAGTGGGTTATTATTTGATAACAAATAGTTTTTTTTATTATTATTATTATACAAAGAGAGAGGCTAGTGTCTAAGTACTGGAAACCGGTATATGTCGAGGGTACGAGACCACTACACTATCGTGGTGTAACCACTCTCGAAGCTCATCCGGAGACACATCGGAAGATTGGAAACCACCCGGACTCTTAGCAGCCATTCTCGCCATGCAATACACAACAAAGTTGGACTCTCAGAATACATGGAATACCTTCACCGACCATTGCCTCTTCAACAACTCTTTTGCGGCCAAGATTAAAGCACAATGTATCCATGCTCAACATTGATACCAAATAGTTGATTGCATTAGTGGATAGCGAATAACTGATCACATAAGCGTATTTGACTAGCATATTCAATTATCATTTTTTCAAATAAACTATTGGTAAATAATAAAAAATAATATTGTTAAGTTGTGTTGCATTTTTATTTGGTACAGAAAACGGAGGCCGAAGCCTAAAAACCTCTAGATAGTGGTGTTCCGTGGATGAGCGACGCCAACGATGTCGTGCATTAACCACGACTTCACTTCTAGTGGTGGGTCAAGAAGTCTCTGGCAACCATTCAGACAGGAATGAGCTAATGTCGCCAAACAATCCGCGACAAAATTCGCTTCCCGATAGCAATGGACAATAGTCACTATCCAATCCCGCTTCAACATCTCTTGTGTTGCCCGCACTACTGCACTGTGCACCCCCCAACTCTCAATTGACGATCCCGTGACCATCTTAACGACACTTTGGTTATCCACACCGCAACTACCTTCATATACCCCAAATCCCATGCTAATTGGAGTCCTTGGAATAAACCTCATAGCTCTGCACCTGTAATAATAGTATATCCAATATTCATGACGAATCCCGCAAGCCAGTGACCTCTATCATCACGCACGAGTCCACCTGCCGACGCCATACCAGTTGATGTAATTAAATAACCGTCAGTGTTTATTTTAACCGCTCCCGTCGGTGGCACACTCCAAGCAGTCTATCTGAGTTGTCTTCCCACACCCAAGCCACCTAGCTGTTTCTCAGCAGACACAGCCGTGTTGATGCTCCAAAATTTTATTAACCTCTCGAATTTTGTGTGAGGCCACAAATTCGCTATTGGCGAAAATAGCCTTGTTTCGGCCATTCCAAATTCTCCAAGCAGTAACACCAAATAAAGTCTCCCATCCCTCGACATTCACAACATACACGTGGGAGAGCTCGTTAAATGGCGACGGCGTCTCTCCAAATTTGTTGTCTTGCATTTTTGGGATCACGTCAATCCAAAATACCCTTTAGTTTTTCGAGATTACCGTTTGAATCCAAACTTCTGATCAAATTAACTAGCATACTTGATGAATGAAAAAAAAATATATTTATCGAATGTTCTCTTCTTTCTAAAGTCTAAACACACGAGTACACGACAAATCAGTAGACAACTTTCAACGAATTGCAACCAAGCCCATCAAGAGATACATATTGCAAATTGCTCATGTGGGAGGGGCCCAAATGATCTGAAAGGCCGTCACACACTCGCTTCATGCACAAAAGGAAAAGTGAAGACAACATACATTTTCTCTCGAAAACCATATCCGCTCATCTTTCTTCACGATTTTTAGTATCAAAGCCATGTTAATCCGATGGGGCTTGTTAATCTGTGCCTGCCTCTCTCTAATCCTAGCCGTACGTTCATTTGCGCGGGTTGTTGTACCTCTGCGTACCCCCACGTCGGTGGGCAATCTCTTTATGCGGTGCGGCGCACCGTTTAGGGTTGCACTCTTCGCCGACCTTCACTTCGGCGAGGACGCGTGGACCGAGTGGGGCCCACAGCAGGATCTCAGTTCCTTGAGGGTTTTGTCTGATGTGCTGGACAGAGAGCAGCCAGGTACTTTTTTTTTTTAATTTTTTTTAATGAAAGGAAGTTTAAAAATTGAATCTTTAAGTGTTTTGTGGTACTCTCATGGTGAAAGGACATATAAAGATTGAATCTTTTTGTGTTTTGTGGTATTTTTATGATGAAGGGACATATAAAGATTGAAGCTTTTAGTGTTTTTTTTTGGTGCTTGTGATTATTCAATGCTTAGGAAAACAGAACTTAAAGATATTTGCTTGATTCGATGGACTTAGAAGCTTTCTCTGTGTATTTTGATATAATATCTCAGTTCTCATGCATTGCTAGTGGCTTGTGTGATTTTATAAGTGGTTTAGATAGTATGATGGGTTATTTTTTTGTTCTTTTATGTCACGATAAAAGCTCAATGTGTGGTTCTATTATTGATATATCGTCCGTTTAGACGCGTGTGAGATCTTATGACACAAGTAGACATGGCCAACCGGCCTGACCCGTTGGGTTCGAAGGGTTATAGAATATTGAATTGGAACTGGAGCAGGAAAAATGAGGATCACACAAGTGGTGTTGTGTTAAAAGGTGAAAACTTGCTTTTGGAAGGGGTGTGTTAAGCAGAGTTTGCAGTATTTGCAGATAGAAGCTAAAAGTGAAAACTTTTTTTTTTTTTTTTGAAGTGCTCGGTAAATAAACGGTAGAAGGTGCCTGCGTGTTTGTCGAGTCAAAATAGAAGCAGAGTTTTGGAAATCCGATACTATTTCTCTTTGAGTTTTGATTAAACATAGTGAATGTAGAAGCAAAAGTGCCATTGTTTTTATGTATTATTTTGTTTGTTTTTTAATCTAAATAGCTGAGAATCACTGTCGTAGCAACAGCAAAATGCAAAAACGACGTGTATGCGTTGAGATCAGAGTTAAAAAATGGCGGGACACACATTGCATATATGAACAATTCAAGGCTCGAAGAGAAACAGTTTGCACTCAGTAACATCGTGATAAAATATGGAAAAACTATTTCTTGATGCCAACAGCTATACACTAAAACTGTATCTTTTATTTTCTAATCTCCTTTAAAAATTATCATTTTTTTTCAAGAAATTCAAACTTGACTACTTTCTACTGCTATCAATGGACAGATTTTGTGGTTTATCTTGGTGATGTCATCACAGCGAACAATATAATGATTAAAAACGGAAGCTTATTTTGGGATCGAGCTTTGTCTCCCACGCGAGACAGGAAAATACCATGGTCGAGTATTTTTGGCAATCATGATGATGCTCCATTTGAGTGGCCGATCGAGTGGTTTTCGAAAAGTGGAATTCCTCAAGTTCATTGTCCTTCAAACGCCTCCTTTACTGGTAGTGCGTATTTGAGTCCTAAATTTGGTGTGAGAGTGCAATTTTGCTTTTAAACTATAATTACCATTTTCTCGATCGTGAAAACTCAGGTAAAACCGAGGAATGCAGCTTCAAAGGCACCACACGTTCCGAACTGATGAAAATCGAGATTGAACAGAACACATTATTATCTTACTCGATGCATGGCCCTCAAAATCTGTGGCCTAGTGTTTCGAATTATGTCCTAAAACTTTCATCGTCAAGTGATGTTCAAGAACCGGTTGTTTACATGTACTTCTTTGACTCGGGAGGTGGGTCCTATCCGGAGGTTATATCCGATGCCCAAGTAAAGTGGTTTAAGCAGAAATCTAACGAAGTTAACCCTGACTCGAGGTAGAAACTATAAGATAAAAAAAAAGAGCCGATCTCATTACATTTCTACCGTGTGATCTTACATTTTGAGATTTTTTTTTTTTTCTCAGGGTTCCTGAAATAATATTTTGGCATGTTCCAAGCAAAGCATATAAAAAAGTGGATCCAAAGTTCAATCGACACAGGCGTTGTGTGGGCTCGATTTTCTTTGAGGATGTTGCTGCTCAAGAAGCTGAGATGGGGATTATGAAAGTTATCGAGAAAAGGCCTTCTGTTAAGGTATGAATTTGCTAATTTTGAGTCTTTTGCAGATGATCTAACTAGTTCAATGTTCTTTTCCTATGCATATAAAGCTATGATCTAACTAGTTCAATGTTCGTAATTATGCTAATCCTCACGGGTGACATTGTAATTAAAATTTGTCTCTTCTTCTACTGTTAGTTTCTATTATGGCCAGAATTGTGAAATGTATTTGTTCCAACCAAGCAACAACTACAAAACTAGGCCCTCCAGCAAGTCATTTATTTCTTGCAAACCGGTCCTTATAATTCATACTATTTCTAAATGTTGCCAGGCCGTGTTCGTGGGCCACAACCATGGGCTGGACTGGTGCTGCCCACACAAAAAGCTCTGGCTGTGCTTTGCTCGGCACACGGGCTATGGCGGGTATGGCAGTTGGGCCAGAGGAGCCCGGATTATAGAAATCAAAGAGAGCCCATTTTCCCTCAAGTCATGGATCAGAATGGAAGATGGTCACTTGCACAGTGAAGTCCTCTTGAGCTCTTGATTCATGCTTTTCTCCCCCCAATTTACTCTCTTATGGCAATAAATGTATATTTTCGAATCGAAGGATTAGACGGGTCTAACGGTTAGGCAATCACATTTGTTTTTTTAACATATATACATAGTTTTTTTTTTCAATCAGCTAATTCTTTTTTATTATTATTATTATTGGACAGCCAAACAAATGATACACTAATACACCCTTGAGTCTGTAATTATTACTAAGGCACTTTTGTGCACTTGAACTTTGCATGCCTTAACTAAACTAAGTCTAATGGTTATTATTTTTGTTTAAATTTTTTCTTGTACAGGTCAGTTATATATGGTCCCTCCCATAATTTAAATTATGATTAGTGCTCTTAAGTAGCCATTTGAACAGCTAAAAAGTCAATAAGCAACTTTCTGCTCATTCTTCTTTAATCTATAATCTTCTAATTAATTGTATAAAGGCCAAATTGTCATATTTTTTTTTTTTAAAATAAGAATATATACTTATATTATGAAATGTTATATTTTTATTTTATATAAATTTTTTTTATGATATTTTAGTTTGCAAGCAAGCATATATGTTGATTAAGTATATTGATTACCTGTTAATTTTGTCTACCAACAGCTGATTTATTTTTAGGTAGGTGAGACAGCAAAAAATGTCACCTAGAAAAATTCAATGTACTGAAAAAATTGATGTAAAATGTCATTATTTCAAGATATGATATGTTTTTTTTTTTTTTTT